CGTCGAAAGCCTCCCTTTCCAAGCCACCCTCCCCATTGTTTTGATATCCTTCCCCTCCTGCCCTCACTACCCCCGCGCAATCGCTCATCCATCCTAGCGGCAGTGACCGGGGGTGGTGGAGAGAAGGGAAGGGGCCGATGAGGGGTCCTGAAGTTTTCTTCACTTCTGGTACTATCACCCGTGCTACTGGGGGAGGGGCCAGGGGGCAAAGGACCCCTCCCCCCTGCCTTTGCTTTTCGCATTACCAAAAACCCACAAAAACGAATTTAAAAAAAAACGCATAAAAAACGATAATTCGCCGAACTGGATGGCCCCTCCCGGGCAACAGCCTTCGCTATTCCCTGGCCGGAAGACGCCCGACGTCACATCCCGCCAACGGATATTTCGTAATTGGCAGGCAGAGGTGCTTGGGGATGAGGGTGGGGGAAGGGGGTGGGGGGATGAGATATTCGGCGGGAATGGATACCTGGGGGTGGGGGGAGAGGTGTCTGGCGCGAAGAGAGGGCCGGTAAACAACTGACCGTCTCTTCATGCCAAATATTTTCAAATCCTGCACGCACAGAAAATAGGCGAGAAGATACTGCCATTTAATTTGTTTTGTTCTAAATTGGAAAAGGGGGAGGGGAGGGGAGGGGACGGGGAAGACGAAGGAGGGACAGAGGGGGGTCGGGAAGTGGGGAGGGGCGGGGGAGGGGGAGAGTTGGAAATTTATAAATTTTTAGTTTTGGAATAATTAGTGTATTATCTTTGGCATAGGGCTCTATTGTCTTTATTATTCTCCGATCACTTTCTGTCCGGACTATTTAGCTCCGATAAGACAGAAATTACTTCCGAAAAAGAATAAACAGCAACGCGTACCAGACTAGCCGGTGCGATCATTGCAGTACCCATTAATGATTTTCACCGCTCTGTACTTTAGTCTATGCAAAAATAGTTCAGACATTGGAAAACAGTTAAAAATTTCACGCCCCAGCGCATGAAAGCTGAATTCGAAGACCTTGAAGGGTGAATGTCTTTCCGTAATTCCCGAGTTAATAGTTTACCCGTCAAAATCTTCACAAGTCCGTAGGCGATACCTGAGAGCGCGGGAACGCTGAATTTGAATGGGCAAGGTTGAGCGTGAGTGTGGGCAGGGCTCATAACCCTAAAATTTCAGCCTTCTAGACTCCGCGGTTCCCGAGATATTAATTTACCCGTAAAAAATTTTAACGGGACCGTACGCGTTACCCGCAGGTACGGGAAGGCTGAATTTAAATTTGCCGCGTCACCCGCTGGCGGAGTACACTATACCAAAATTACAGCCGCCAAGCTTCTGTGATTTCCGAGTTGAAAGCGCGGGACAAAATGTGGGACACACAGACAGCTCCGTGACAATATGCGTTTTTATGCGTTTTTGCCGTGCAGCGCAAGAGCGCTGCAACAGGCAGCAAAAACGCA